GTAGTATTGGTTATGATATTTCATATCTAGATCTTACTGAGTTTACATTTGAGTGTCTTTAAGTGCATCCATTTTATAAATCTGAAAACTTTTATCCAGAAGTGGGGATGATGAGAAGCCTGACCTTAGAATAACTTGGAGATACCTTTGTGGCAGACTACCAGTGTCCTCATCAATCATCTTGCCATATTTTCTGTCTTTCCTAATACTAAAAACATGTTTTTCTTGGGCTGGGGAGATAGCTCAGTGGTCTAAGCACCTGCTTGGCAAGGATAAGAACCTGCGTTTAATCCCTGGTACCAGAGCCCAGGGGGTGCCATGCCAGCCCCAAAACTGGGCATGGTGGTATATGCCTGTAATCCCAGCACTGATGAGGCTGAGACAGGAGAATCACTGGGAGTCTGAACTGGAAAGTGAGGCTCTGTAGCCAATAAATGAATAAATAAATAAATAAATAAATACTTTTTAAAAAGTAAAAAGATGCTTTTCTTTGTTGTATGCTAGCAAAACACATCACCCATATGTGTTTTGGAAAACTGAGAAACATGGTTTGGTGCCAGCATTGGTTTCCTGACTAACTTAAAGAACTGAAGAACAGTGGGTGTGGCTGACATTCATCTTGTTTAAGAAAAGACATCCTAAATCATTCATGTTCTCAGTACTTTCTATATACAACATTTTTAAATTACGTGGCAAAATGAGATCAGAAAATGAAGTTGAAATGTAGTTGGGGTGCCAGGTCCCCTTGAGGAAGAGCCCATGATAGGGACATAGAGATCCTGTCCTGCCAGTTGCTGAGGCAGGTGGACTGCTGCTAGAGAAGGGAACAGAAGTGTAGGAAGGCCTTGGAATAGGCACTCATGAATGTCAGCTGAAGGGCACAAAAAAGGGAGCTGAGTCAGTGTCAAAACTGGGCTGTCAGGTTAATTTCCATTACATTAAAAGGGAGTCAGGAGGCATAGGAAAGTCATGGAAAGCTTAATATGAGCCCTGTCCAGAACATAATTATGAGCATCCCCCAAGCATAGAATGCAGCATTCCAGGTGCCTAAGACCATCTAGAGTTATGGGCTAGAAGAAGAGTAAGTCGATTGCAACAAATATTTCTCAAAAAAGCAACATGTTTATGAAAAATGTTCAACATCACTAATCATCAAGCAAATGAGAATTAAAGCCACAGTGAGTTATCATCTCATACCTGTTATGTTTGCAGTTATCCAAGAGATGAAAGTTAATGAGCATTGGCAGGAAAGTGGCAGGAAAGGAGCCCTTACACACTGCTGGGAGTAGAAACCAGTATCATTTGGAGAGCTACTGGAGGCTCTGCAAAAAGCTGCACCTAGATCCACCACATGACCCAGCTGTCCCCCTTCTGGGTGTATATCCGGAGAATACCAATCACTGATGCAGACGCATCTGTACTCCATGTTCTTTGCAGCAATATTCACACAGCATATGGAAACAATGTCATTGGCCATCAGCACATGGATGACTAAAGAAAACATGGGCTTAGTTCAGCATTGGGATATTATCCACCCTATAAAAAGAGGGAAATCCTGTCATGTTCAATAATATGGACAATCTGAAGGATATTATGCTAAATGTTGAAAGCCAGGCACAGGAAGACAGGTGCTGCAGGGCCTTGCTTCTGTGTGGAAAGTAAGTTCAATTTGGAAGTTGAGGGCAGATTCTTAGTTATGAGAGGCTGCTAGAGGTTGTGGAGCCCGCGTTAAACAAATGTCTGTGGATGTGTTTAGGGTAAAGAGGGGTGGGCAGAGAGGAGAGGAGACAGGGAAGTGAGTGCATTGCATACAAAGAGGAATAGCAGAGACCCTCACTCCCTTAGCTCTGCTGATTCTGTTTGTTCTTCACATCCTCAAGATTTTCATGCCAAGTCAGTCTCCCACAAAACACCATCACAATCTGCATTAGTGGACATCTTAGTTTGGCATCTTTTGCAAGAACCTGGTCTGTCTCCTCTGTGTCTTTCCATTCCATTAAGAACATGAAGTCACCACAGGACCTTGTCATCCCACTGGTCTCTTGGTTGCAGTCCTCTTCAGGCAGGGCCTGGGCCACACCACTGCTCTGCATTTTTCATTAGTAGTAGTGTTTTGGATTTGATATCATTAGCACAGATTAAGAGATTGGATGCTCTCCTCTTGTTGCTCTCTGGTTTCTCCCTGGGTTTGTAACTTTCACTCTCCTTCATCTTATACTTTTCCTTGGAAAAACTTTTCCATGCTTTGGGGTTAAACATTAAGCCAGTGACACCCAAGGAAAGATAGGATATATTTTATGTCAGGCTCTGCATGTCCCTCCTTCTCCATGATGCTCTTCTCTCCCCTGGAGAAGGTTCCCAGCCCCTGCTTTTCATTCCTATGGTGCTCGGCTCCACCTGAAGGACTAAGGCTGCCTCGCTTCTTGGCCTTGCTGGGGGTTGAGCAATTTTGGTCTAAGTGCTGAAGTTAAAAGCAGCTCCATGTGAGGTGCATGCAGTTAAGCGTTCAGTGATGGATTTTTTCCTTCAAAAAAGAGAATAGAGAAAATTCACGTTAGTGATTTTCAGCATGTGATGAGCTATGTTCTGCTTCTAATATAGATGAACGGAAATGACCTTTGATAAATTTGCATAGCATTTCATCCCTGTAGATGGATGTCAGAAATTTGAAATAAGTTTTGTAACTAAGTACATTTATATATCAGGTCTAGCATATTGAAAAAAAATTGTTTTAAACTATACAGTTTTTATTTTTTGTCTTGAATTTCTATATAATTTGGGGGTTAAACATTAAGCCAGTGACACCCAAGGAAAGATAGGATATATTTTATGTCAGTGTGAATATGGGACCATAGCAGAGATCATGACCACTTGAAGATTTCATGACTTCAAAAGTCAAAGGAATTCAAAATTCATTTGCTAAGTATTCACTGGGTACCTAATTCATGTCAGAGATCTTCTAAGGTGTGCGGTTGTTCCAGGGGCTGACAGAAGCACTGCCCTCATGGGGCTTCTTGCATTCTGGTGGGAGTTGTGTGGTCCCAAGGGGGCAGGTGAGCAGGTCCTTTGATGGAGGGAGGGCTATGAGGAGAGCAGGCCGGTCTAGGACAGCATGCAAAAAAGCCTCCTGAGGAGGTGACATTTGGAGTAGAGTCTGTCCTTCTGCAGAGCTGTAGGCTGAAAAGTTCTGTCACCTAAAACCACTATTGTTTGATGGATGTTTACCTGTTGTGGCTTTGCCCAGCAGTGGCTCCAATAGCTGTGTCCCTTTGTTGTCTAGGAGGAGCAATGATGTGAACGCACATGTATGTCACTGACCCTTTGGCAGGCGAGGACCTAGGAATAGGCCACACAGACTCTGCAGGCGCCACACAGGAAGCATATGTTGGCTTTGTTATTCAGGTTTGAATATCCACTCTTGGGGTTGGGGGTGATAGCTCTGCAATGTAAGTGCCTGTCTAACAAGTGCAGGGTCCTGAGATCGATCCCTAGTACGAAACAAAACAAAAATGATAGTCTATTCACATTTGACCTTAGATTCTTGAAATCCCAGAAAATTAGTATAGCTAAACCTACAATGGGGATTTTCATTATAAAGTAGTATGTCAATACTACAGATGTATATTGATGAATTTGGAATTTCCTATATTTTTAAAAAATGTAGTTGTAGCCAACATATAAGAAATCTTACTACCAAAGAATAACAGCAAAATTTGTTCTTGAGTGAGAGAAAATTTATTCTCACTGGCTATGATTTTCTGGAGTATAAGAAGGTAGTGGCATTAACCAAATACTCTCGTATATCATATATTTGTTCTTTATCTGCCAGTGGGGCCATTCATACAGTAACCCTGAGACTTGTACTTTCAGGCCATTACTTTCCCAAAGATCCTGCCACTGACTTTGGACACCCCCCCCCACCCCACTGTTTTATTTTTATCTCATCTTCTCTTTGTTCATCTTTCTTCCTAACTGTTTTTGGGAACTAATGATGATGATAACAGAAATAGGAAGAAGGTGAAAAAGAAGAGACTCTGGCCGTTTGGAAATTATTCTTTTAGTGTTTAAGTATTCAAGATAGAATGGTAGTTTTTTTGACCCTTTTTCTTTGCTTTTTCCTTTTTTCATTGGGAGAATTAAAATTTGGATGCTAATTTATTTATTTTATTTATTATGTATTTATTTTTGTATTTTAGGGAAGGGTCTACAGTGTGTTCAGGGTCTCACTACTAGATTAGACTTGTAGTGATCCACCTGGGTTCAGCCCCCCAAGAGCTGGGATTACAGGCTTATGCCACCATGCCCAGTCTCAATTGCCATCTCAGCATGTCCCGGAGGTAGGGTCAGCACAGCACAACAGGGATCGCACTGGCTGCTGCCTCTGCCTAAGAGTGCTTTAATCTGCTGAGTTATTTGGCCAGCCCTGGATGCTAATTTATTTAAATAATTCAGGAAACAAAAGTTTTGGGGACAACATAAAACAAATTATCCTGTGGAAATGCGTGTACAGTATTACATGATGTTTATTTATTTATTTGTTTTTATGTGTTTGGTACTGGGTCTCACTATGCAGCTCAGACTTGTAGTGATCTGCCTGTTTCAGCTCCCCAGCACTGGGATTACAGGTGTGTGTCACCATACCCGGGGTGGGGCTAGCACAGCATGCAGTACCAGGGATCAAACCAGGGTCCTCGTGCTTGCCTAGGCAGGTGCTTAGACCACTGAGCTGTCTCTGTGGCCCCTACATGATGTTTTTGTATATGTACTACAAGTACACTATTTCTGTTAGTATAATTTTTCTCTTCTATACTGATATAT